ATCACATCCACTATATCAACACAAACGATTCGTGCGCAATCCTACTAATTGATGAAGCTCGCCAGCCTTTTCAAAAAATTCGCTTTGAATAATTTCCACAGCAAAAGATTAGTTTTTCGTTGAGGCACAGCTGTTTGCATCGTTAGCGCAAGAAAATCCATCAATCGGATGTTGTGAAAAAGCTTGATCAAGGGTGTGTGGCTGGCCAGGTAGCGTTTCGGCTCTGTTCCACTTGTGATACCAGAAAAACAAATTTGATATGGGCAGAAACAGGGGAGGGTGAAGCTCTCCTAAGTAAAAATAAATTTAAGTACGTGGCGGCTTTGAGCTAACAAAGGGCAGCTTCGAATCCGCTTCAAAACACATGCGGTTACGCAAAAAATAGCTCTCTACGAGTGTTTACTCTTTTTTTCTACAAACAGGACTTTCTAAGTTTTAACCATCTCAAGAGATTTTCTCGTTCACGATCTGAGCAGTTTGAGGAAGAGATGAGATCAAGTTGTGAAACTATCTGTTTGGAAGAACAGAACACAGCACAAAACATCTTAAAATGGAGGCGACTTACTTTGAGTTAGGGCAGATTTTTACTGACACTAAATAAAATACAAATGAATCTAAGGAAAGATTGTCATACTACTTTCGTAGAAACTAAAATCAAATCTTAAACTGAGTGAGAATAGATAAAGAACGAGTCTGATTACTTTCTTCATGCTTTATTACACTACATGCTTCATTTTGAGTTGATTTGCTATAGCTAGCAATATACCATTCAGGAATCTCCATTTGCTTCAATTAGTTTGAACAAGTCTTGTAGAAGACATAAGAACGACGAGTCCCGAGGTTTTATTAGGGAGGTGTAAAGCAATTAGTGATCGATTATGGAAAGGGGGAAGGGGGAAGGGAGTAACAAAAAGATGCTTTACAGCAAAAAAAAAGGATAGAAATAAGGGGTCGATGTCATAACCTTTGTTTGGCAAGTTTACGATATCTGAGAACTCTGCTGAAGAACCTTATTGCTCCAGCAAGACATGATTAATTCTCAATTTAGGGAGATCAGGTCTACAAAAAAGAAAAAAGCGCATTATTTATATGTTTTTACAAAACTAAATCCGTATAATTGACATATCTATAAGCTTTATAACATTCAAAATTTTCAAAAAATTTAAATTATCGTTTAATATGTTAAATTCAAGAAACTAATTGTCAAACTAAGTTTGGTTCCGAAGCATCTTGACCTA